GAGGGGCCACTTTTCCCTGTGCTCAGCACCAGCTTCTTCCCTGCTGGCAAGCAGGGGGCCAGGGCTGTGCGCTGCCCTCCCCCCATACCGCGGGCATTGGGAGTGAGCAGGTGTGGGAACCAGCGGGAGCATGGGGCCTCCACCGGTGTCCCGGGGCCAGTGCTGGCGGGGCCCAGAGCAGAGTGGCAGGACCGTGGGGTCCCAGCTGGCAGGGGCTCTATGGAGCCAGGCCAGCTCCCCCCCTCCCTGCTGGTGCAACCCAGCCCAGCTCCAGAGACCCCTGTCAGCCTGTGCCCTGCTTTGGGCCCCACCGGTGCTGTCCCTGGGACATTGGTCCCAAGATGGTGACCAGGGGGAGGGGCATCTGTCAAGAGATGGGGCACCTGTCAAGGAGAGGGACTACCCATGCAGCCCTTGACAGCCTGCCAAAACTGGGTAAGCAGCCCTCCACCCAGAATAATTGCCTGCTCCTGCCTTAGGGTATTCCCAGATGGGTACTAAAACTGCCTGTCTTCGTGGCAAAATATCTTGAAATGAGAAGTTAATTAAGACCAACTAACATCTCTTCCCCTGAATTACTTTTTTAGTGAGAGAGAAGATCGAAAAGAAGATGCAACCATGAATCAGGAGGCAGATGAAGGTGAGGAAGACAACAGGGGAGAAAGGCGCCGCAGATCATCACCCACCAGACCACGGATAGAGGTTACACATGCTGAAGCATAGAGATGATTGCAAATTAAACAGTGCATTTACCAGCCCGGTCTGGTGTGCGCTGTGACTTTTTCTACAACTATCTGGGACAGAGGTCATCTCTTTTGATCTGTGAACAACAACAAAAGATGTGTGTGAAGTACTGGAGAATCCTGCTTCACTCCCCTACCTGTCATAACGTCCAGATTTCAAGATCATGAATTATGAGTCTCTCGGAAAGGCCAGACTGGATTATTTGGGTAAAAAAAAAATACAGCCACGAATTTAATACTATATTAGCCAGCCAGATACACATACAGTGGCGTTATCTGATATTACAATGCATGCATTGGGAGGGGGAGGGCGTTAGGAAGACCAGTTTACAAAAGAGATTTTACTAAATGGAACCTTTGCATAGCAACAATTTATAATAAAAATATGTAGCTGACTGACCATGGCCCCTGCACTGCTACCAATGAGACAGCTGAGACAGCAGAACTGACCCTTTCACTTTCATTTTCCAGAACTTACAAAGCTTCTTTGTGCATCTCCCAGGTGCAGTCCAGACCTTGCCCACAGAAGCTGGACTCAGCCTGGCGTCAGAATGAGTCCTGTCCCACCCCATTGCTATTGCCTGCATCAGCAGATCTCAAAATTTTAAGGTGCCCCTGCAAAGTTATCCTTAATGCTTGTTTCCATGTCACATCCCAATTTACTTTATTCTTTCCCTTCCTCAGAAGTAAGAGAGACAGCAAACCATTTTCCCCGGCACGTACAGAAGTCAGGAGGAAGAGGGGGAAAAACATGGCAAGTTAGAACTTTTTAGATGACAAGAGCATAAAAAACACACTTCTTTCTCTTAGCACTGCTTGAGACAAAGCAGAGCACAGATCAACACTCTTAGCACAGAATACCCACATTATATGTATAACATATTCCCACATTATATGTTCGGAACTGTCACACTTGACCTGCCTCATCAGAAGTGAACGGTTATGCTTACCTTGGGGCTTGCAACATGGACAACAGAAGAAAGCTCTCCATTACCATTCTCTTCTCTTTACAAGGTAAGGACCTGGAAGGGGAAATACCATGACCATGATGGTGGCAGGAGAAATACCCTAACAAAGGTAATGCAATTAAAAATGGCACTGTGTAGTGGAGGGTTGCACTCCTGTTTGCTTGTAGATGGGACTCCCTACGAGAGCCTCATAGTTAGCTTCCCACTGGCCAGCTTTCCCATGGGAGGATCTTGGCTACATGCTGACTGTATGGAAAGGAGAGACTCCTCCCTAGCTGGCTCCTGCAGCCATATGGCCAAGGGCAAGTGAAACTCGGAGGCATCCAAACCCCAAGTCTCTGGGCTTGGGCCTGCACGTAGGATGCCTGCCAAAGGATTTGAAAGCATCTGAAGCCCCAGGCTGGGGTGGAGGATACTTGCCAGCAGCAGGGCCACATATGGTTCTTGAATGATTCAAGCTGATTTGGACCTGATCTGGCTAATTCGACCTGGGACAAGAAAACTGTTATTTATTTATTTATTTTTTAAGGAAAAAAGGACAGTCCTACATCTTCCAACAGGATTCTACAGTATTACATTTATGTAAATCTAGTTAGAGCTTTTTTTAAGAGAGAAATTTAACAGGTGGTTTCTATTGAAGCAACTATTCTTTTAATGCACTCTATTGTTCTATCTTCTGATCCTCCCCTTCCCCAGTTGGAGGGTTGGGGAGGACTTTTTGGTGTTTCTAGTGGATCTGCTGCAGCTCTTTTGTACATCTACTGTATTCTGTGGTAAGTGGAAGCTAACCTGTGGTAATTCAGCAGCTGTTACCTTCTGCCTTAGTTTACCATCACTTACTGTGGAATAGGGCAACTACAATGGATCAGCTGATTTAGGGAGTGGAAGCACAAACTATTTGGGCATTTTTGTGCATTCATGCCTTAGACACGAAGCTGAGAAGCACAAAAGATGATAAAGAATATTTGGGACACTTGAATGTTCAGAAAGAAAAGAGGTTACAGGAAGAAACAGAAGCATCATTGTGGGTGGGATAGAGATATAAAGAACTGTGAAGGCAAGGATAACATGCTTGAAAATCTGGGACAAAAAAAATAGCGAAGAAATTAAAGGAGGAAAACTGCAGGATTTTGGGGAGTTGAGAAGTAGGGAGGCAGTTTTAGTAGTCAAGGGAACCAAAGCTTGGAGTTTTTGCAGTAGAAGGTCATGGTCTGACATTAGAAGTGTCAGATGGAAGAAATGAAAGGATAAGTTTTTGGGAGAGGCTGAATGGAGAAATAAGCAAGTGTCTCGGAGGAAGCAGGGGACGAGAGTGAGAAAAAGGCGTTGAGGAAAGCAGTACTGTGAAACTGAGGGATCAGCTACAGCAATGAGAGTTTTATTATTTTGCAATTTTCCTTTAAGTGAATTTGCCAATCTAATGATCTATTTCTATTCATTGGCAAAAACCTTTTGTAATAAGAAAGGATGGTTTAAGTTATATAACTCGTGTAATTTGGTGCTGTTAACTGTGGAGACAAAAGCTATTTACTTTATTGCCACTATAGGCATTAATCACTATTTCTTCCCTCAGACAGGTCGGTTTATTTCCTTAAACTGAAGAACACATTTCTGCCACAGGATGGCCAGCATGAACTTACTCATTTGAGTTCTTAACAAGAAATATGAGAAAAAAAAATGGCAAAACAACTGTCAGCCGTATATTTGCGGTTAATTGGATATATGAGCTAGTTCTGGCCTTTAAAACAGTTTAACCTCTGTATGATTCATCTCTCATGCTCTTGTCCCATACTAAGAACAATTTGGTTGAAGCAAAAACTGGCCACAACAAAAATCAGAGTTATAGTTCTAGAAGTCAAAATCTCAGCTTGTTTTTGAGAGATTGAAATAGGAGCTTGTTCATGATACTAAAAATAACTTCTATATAGTTATTAGAGGTGAGGCAAAAATAAGTCAGGAACAACTATCAACATTATTAAACCCAGGGGGATGCCTGTTTACATAAAATTTGTTTTTCCCCTTAATGTATAATTATGCAATAGCACATGGCAGGCTCAGATAAACCAAGTTTATTGTTCCTCACAGGAAGCTTATTTATAGAACTAAGATTTTTGGAGGTTATGTACTTGTATCTTCAGAAGGATTCAGTCCAGATTTTCTCAATCAATTTATTAAACTAGGGGTGTCAAAGATGCAGCTCACAGACTGGATCCAGCCTGTGGAGCTCTAGGATCCGGCCTGTGGGTCTTAGAGCAACCCCAAGCATCCCATGAGGCACATAGTGGCTCTGGTCCCACATGCTGAAGCAGAACCACATACAAGGCCAGTCCAGCACAAGCACTGCACGCAGAGCATACCCTGTGCCAGCCCTGGGGACTGCATGCACCCAGACAGGGGCTGGCGTGTACTGCACACAGCATGCTGGGCTGGACCTGGTGCATGCACTGCATGCAACACAGAGGGCTGGCATGGGGTGTGCACTGTATGTGGTTCCTCACTGGATTGACCCCGTGCATAGGCGACTGGTAAGGGGGAAGGGGAGGCACGTGCCCCCAACAGGGCTGTCCCCGCTGCTGATACCGCTAGTGGCTTCTGCGGGTGCTCGCCAGCCCTGTCCCCACTGCCGGCTTCTGCAGGTGCCCCCCCCAGACTCAGGAGGCACCAGTCACCCATGGCCCTGTGTGTTGGCTCTGGAGCTGATCAGGATCAGGCCCACATACAGAAGGGGCACTACGGGCTTCTAGTATCTCTGGCACCACAGGCTACACTGCCCTGCCAGAGGAGAGAAGGAGCCCCAAGTCCCTGGCTGCTACTATAGTTAGAGCAATAGGGGCAGCAGCAGCCAGGTGAGAGCCTGGGGACCACAGGCCACCCTAGACAGGGACAGCCCTGCTTTAGATAACTGTCACTTCCCTTGATGGGAGTCTCACTGAGGAGGCCAAAAACTGAAGAGGCGAGTCTAACCCCCTCCTTGTACCCTTATGGAGCATCGTCATATTCAGGACCCTGACAGCTATGTTTAGCTTCTCTCACGGTTTTTTTTGCAAGGTACAGGAAGAGTCAGGATTATAAGTACTCAACCCCCGCCATCATGTTTCCCCATCTGCAGTGTTGCTACAATCTGTTACCAAGCGGGAACAACACAGCAAGAACTTGATGCTGCATTACTATATGGAAGTTCCTTTAGCACGCGTACTAACATGACGTTGAAGTTATTTTTAACGCCCTTTCCCTGACATTACCCCAGGCTCCTATGGCAAGGCTGTTTTTTGTATTATATCTTGTTTAATATACCTTTGAGGTTAGAGGAACTTGGACCTCCCCCACAACAGCTCACCTACTCTCACTTATTGGTAGAAAAACAGGGGGCAGGTCAAGAACTTAAACGAAGGTTTAAACTGCAGGCAGTGTTTATACAAGGATTTCTACAAGGAAAAGATTGTACTGCGTGTTTTGCTGTAACATTTCCAAACAAAAATCTCAAGAAAACAATTCCTTCCTATCTTACCCCTGCTCTCCTTCAAGCAACTCTATGTTCCTAGGTGTTTACTGCACTGGGAAGGGGGCAAGGGGTGAATACCACATAGCTAATCACAAGAGAATTTTACTGGTTTGCCAGTACTGATAGCAACCATAACTCCAAAGTTAATTTTGCCTCTAATATAAACATGCTTCATCCAAGGAAATTAAAATGCCTCACAACCAGTGAGCATGCTAACTATTTTATAAATGGCAAAGCTCAAGCCATGGATATTAAGAGTTTTGATTAGAGTCACAGATCATAACATAGGCTGTATTTGTGATTCTAGGTAGGAGGCTGGATTCCCAAGCCCCTGCTATACCCACTGGAAAACAACCGTCTCCCACCATCTACCTGGGCTCCTAATTTCAATGTGCCTTGTATTCCTTTAGCCTATAACCCCTTTTCTCTTTTTCCAGTCCACCCTATTTGAGAATTTCCTAGTTAGCCCTATATTTCTCTCCAACACTTGAAAACCTGTTTGAAGCACCCCCATTCTCTTTTACTCACTACTAGGACCCAACAGTTGGACTAAGGATAGTCAACAGGAAGTTGAGTCATAAAGGGAGCATGTACCAGGAATCCCAACTAGTTTTCTAGCAAGACCTTGTTTCCTGGCATGAGTCCTATTTCCCTGCTGGAGATCCTGATACTAAGCATAGCACCCTTATCCCAGTTACTAGAGATGCTGGTGGTATAACCCTTATCACCTGACTCCAAAGTGATTTACCCTTCAGAACTGGCCAGCCACAGGAGGGGGAATGATTTATTTCACAAGGTTGGTTGCTATGGCAACAGAGCTACTTTGCTATTTATTCACATCAATTTTTATCATCTGTTTTGGGAAAGACACTGACACACACTGCCAGTGGAGGAAATTCACAGTAGGATGAGCAAACCGTTAGGGTATATG